CAGAAGACTTCCATCTTCATTTCATTGGCGTGTTTCCCGTTTTCGATTAGGTATTGCTGTTTCGTCCCTCGTTCTGTCCTGTTATTTCAACTAAACAACCAAAGCAGTTGATAGGTCTTCTACCGCTTGGTGACGTGACTGTAAAGTCGTCACTTTCGCTAATCCTACGAGGGGGATTGACTGCCTGGAACATACAAGAGCGACCAATCAGCTTTGTGCAAATCGGCTTTACGCAAGTACCTGGTCTCCTGTCATGTGGCCCAATTAATTTGCCGACAGTGGGGTTCGGGCCCAGTTTTTTTTTTGGGGGGGGGATTATGCCCGTAGTATGTTTCCACTACTTAATCCTTGTTGATGTGAAAGTTAAAAGGGCAATTCGCTGTTGCTGTAATGAAAACATTGGTATTCTGCCCAATGAAATAGAGACAGTCGACTAAAGCCCATTTTTTGACATGGTGACACAGCCTTGGATATGGTTTTCATATGTACTATATATTTTATAACATGAAAACTAAACTAAAATACATGTAGTCTAGGAATGGGCGAGGATCTTGCAAAGAGACGCAGGTTTTAATAACTTATAGTAGCATATCAAATTAACAAAATAGCAAATGACAGGCATTAGAACTTGTGTTTAACAAAGAGTAAGAGACTGGAATGATTTATTAAAGCGTAATATTAAATTAATGTTAGATTGTGATACCACTAAAAGACACAGTTTGAGGAAGTGAGATCAAAGAGCTGAATGTCTGGACCGAAGGGAGAGGAAGTAATTTTTTTGGTAATGAGTGACATTTCAAGTTCTCATGGCGGCGAGTACGAAACCTACTGTCTTGTGGGTGCTGCATCGTGTAGCTGTGAGACTACAACATCCCAGAAGACAACCAACTTCACACAATTTAGAGTTTAAAGTTTTGAACTTTTCGCCAAATGTTAATGAGAAGTTAGGATGATCATATCAAGGAATATGACCTTAGCAGGACAGATAGCTCGCACACATGGAAGAACTGAACGTAGATGGGTGAAAGATGTCCTGATAAAATATATTTTAATTGGATAGTTTATGAGACTATGGACTGGATGCAGACTGCCGTAGGTAATTTTCCAGTGTGTGGCTTTTGTTAACGCGGCGGTGGACAGTTGTATTCCATGCAGTACGCTATTTACTGACCAGGTTTGAGACTATCAGTTTTGGGCTGAGACTAAAGGAGTTATGTGGGGCACTGCTCTTGCTTTACAGTGCGTGAACTATTTCTGTCATCTTGTTAACATCCGCGGCTGAGTTCGGATTTCTGCACGATACATACAACACTTAACATCCTCTGGATATAGAACAAAGATAAGCAATTAGGACGTCTTCGACTGAGTCGCTGCCAGTTCTGATTGACATTCCAGAAGCTCCGTCGTCATGGTTACAAGTGTACAAGTTTTTGTTTCCTGAAGCAAGGCATCAATATCGGCGTACCAATCGAAATGCAGTTTACACCTACAAATATGAATTACTTAGGGATGTCTGTAAAGTGGTAGTTTGCGTTTTCCAATGTTGTCTCTCCTTTTGTCCTTGCTGCCTCCATCATCAGGG